ACCATCACGATATGAGGTGTCAAATTACTCTTAGAAAAGCTGATGAAAGAGAAGCTGGCCATTACATTAAGATTCTTGACCTCATTTCGATTTGCAGGAGCTGGTAGCCCCTTTCCATCACCCGGCCCCCCATCAGCGGCAGTGCATATAAACTGAATCGATTGAAGCAGCCTTTCCAACCACTTGTCCCACTGTGTTTCACCAGTCAGGGCCTTTAAGCTTGAAAGAATGGTGTAATATTCTGATGCATTACTAGCACAACTTCCTGGAGTCTCAGCTTTAAAAGACTGCCCAGATCTTGTAGATGCTTCATCCTCTCGGGAAACATCCAACTGAGTCATGCTCTTCTTCCTCAACAGTCTCTTGTTTCTCAACTGATGTTCCTGATCAGTAGCTGCCTCCTCTGGCTCGATGTCAGGAAGATCTCCCAAGCGTGACATTGTCTTCTGAACAAGGAGATCAATCTCTTCCTGTTTGTTGTCTTCATAATCTTTATCTGTAAGCTTGAAAAGCCTTCTTTGTTCAGTGTCGTATACCCTTTGCACTATGAAACCTGGATGTTGCTTCCGTGGGGGAATCTGCTTGTTCAGAGGTATAAAATGCACCACACACTTGTGCATGACAGATTCTGCTGGGACCTCATCCCGGTGAAAACTATAAAACAGCTCTCGCGTATCAGTGGATTGCCAATTACCACCACTTTTCTTTTCTGCCTCTTCAGGGCGATAAAACCATTGCCCAGTGACCATCAAGCTGCCATTTCTTGTCTGAGAAATGTCCTGAAAACAGAAGCAAATTTGCCACAACTGAAAAAATACCAATTCTACACAACTGGAAACATTCTCTGCAAATTTGCCAAGCTACTGATGCCGAAAAACCAGTATCAACGTACTCCAGTATAATACAATCATTTGCACAAAAACCAACTAACAACAACGCATTAGGCCTTTCACCTATAAAGTGTGTATGCCACTAAGGGACCAGGTAAATGCTCTAGACAACCAATATAGATAATCTTTAGGGAAAAAGAAAAAACTGAAAACAGCATTGAATATAGCAAAACCATTTCAACAATCAGCCTTTGACAACCGTTATTGAAGCAATGTGCAGGACAGAAAACTCAGGAAGTCGTAAGGTACATTAAGGAGTCTATTCAACAATTCTATAGTTTCAAAGCCCAATAGACCAACAAAATGATCCACCACCAAAGAAGCCTATGAGACAGCTCATTAGCTAAACAAAAAAGTCCACTGGAATATAACCCCCACTGGGAAATAGAAAGAATGGCAAGAGGACGAGCAAAACCATGAAAAATACTTGTTATATATGTCTTTCATTCTTCTTCATAATTTCTTCACATTACTGCACACTTGCAGTTTAAAATAGAAATATCCTCAAAAATATAGAATGGGTATATAATCTTCAGTCTTCATGTTCAGCTTGTGCAACAGGATTTATGACAATTCACACATACCTTGATAATGGCCACATAAGGCTTCTGATTTGCTTCCTCAGGCACTAAGAGCAGAGGATCCTCCTATCGCAAAATCAAAGATAGAAAACTAAAGCAAGTTAGACATGGAAATATATCTACAGAAACTATTTTACTAGTAATTGCTTCTAAAAGGGGCAGATATATTGACCATCATGTAATGAAACACAGAATTCCTGATCAAGATCTCAAACATTCTTCATATGACTACTTTTTATAAAATTTTATTTTACTGTAATTGATTGCTTGCATCTCAACACAGGAATATGTTTGGATACAAAACAGAAATAGATCAGATGTGATACATGTTAATAATTTCTTGCAATATACATTTTTGTCCACTTCGCTTCTCTCTCTTCTTCTTCATTATCAGGAAGAGCATAGCAAAAAATCTTCATACATATTCAGATATTTTCCTAAAAGCTGTAAATTCTAATGAATCTTTTAGACTTCAGCTTATTGACAAAGTATTCATCAAATAAGCTTTTTACATCAAAAACAGAGCCTCATCCGAAATTCTTCAGCTTTTTAAAGCTTTTTAAAGAAAGTATTCATCAAATAAGCTTTTTAACGGTTGAAAACATGCTTTTGGTTTAAAAGTTCCAAAGAAGCCAACAAGTGTTTCTGCAACCACCTCAGGGGCCGTATTTCCAGTCCAGCTTCTTCAGCTTACATTAAGCGCATAGCAAAAGCCATGTGCATTTAAGATAAACTCAAAATAACTTTTAGCTCAGTAGGAGCCAGAAACCTGGTACATGCCCAAAGTCTACTAAAATAAGTAGGCTTGACTAACAGATGCTTTCAGCATTTTAAGATGTATAAACTTTCATATGGATAATATATCCAATTGTTTTGCCTCCCACACCAAATCAGTATAGAATTCACAACCTTTATCAAGAAAAAGGAGTTCTAGGAAGGTAAATATTATTGTGGTCATCAATCAAGTGTGGTAAAGTAAAAGCAACAACAGAAGCATCAAACGAGTTCCAAATGATTTCACAGCCACCAAATGGGCACATGCAAACAGCAGTATCTACAACAAGATGCTCATGTGATGCTCAAATGACCACTTAGAAAAAGGTTGCCATAATTGACATTCGTTACACCATGCCAGCTAAGGATCATTTGCACTATAAAAGATTTACTTTCAATTAAAATGGTAGAAACAGAAAGCCTAGAATTTCATGCCCCATACATAGTCTTCCTTGTCTCCTCTCATGGTCAGATTTTACCTATCAAAAGATCCTCCTAATACTACATTTGCAGGTTCCCCTTCGTCCAATACACACAGGACTCTGAGTCCCTGATTCAAAGCTCCAAAGATACATATAACAGCTTGACCCGGAAAATTTTCATTGGGTGGATGAACCGGGCATAAAGGACTTTAAATCCACCCTACATGAGTTTCAGCTATATAGCAACAGATTTCAACTAATTCCTCCTGAAGTTATTTGAAATCTAGAGTAAGAGAATTCTCACATCATTTGTAGGGAACCAAAAAAAAAAAAAGAGCATAAGATAGGCTCTTTCTCCCTCTCTAACCCTTCACATGTACCACGAATATACAGGCATAACCGTAGCAGGAACCTTACTTTGTATTTTTCGTGCTTATTAGTTTCATTTAACATGGCTTGTATGAACTCTAGTTCTTGTTCTGCACAAAATAACCCTTTTTTAGCCTCAACTTCTAATTAATGGGTCGAAGCTTACAATTACAACTAATTTCTAAAAGTATTCAACAAAGTTGCATACAATTCAGCAATGATATTGTTTGAAATGCTTACTTATGAGCATAAGTATTACCCAAGAAATGAATCCAATTAACGAGAATTTCGAATTAATATTTACCAAATCATATCGCATTCCATCATATTCGAAGGCCTCATAGTGATTCCTCCTCCCTCTTCCTTTTCCCGAAGCCCTAATTACATCGCCAATTGGCTTGGCGTCCTCCTGAGGAGCCTCCTCCTCATCACCGCTAGGCTCAGCCGCAGTTGCTTCTTCTTCTTTGATCACTTTCTTTTGCTTCTTCCTATCTCTGACACTGTCTTCCTTCACTTGCTTTTCTTCATCTTCTTCTTCGTCGACGAGCTTCATTTTCTTCCGCTTCCTTTGGTTCGTTTTCTCCTCGTCACCGTTCGCTGAGCTCCGCCGCGGCGGCGGAGGTGGTGGCGGTGGCCCGTCGTCCTCGTCATCGCTCGGCGGCATCTGAGTGAACCTCCGATTACCCATTGCGATTACTGTGTGTGATTAATGAGTGTGCCAGTGTGTGAGAGAGAGTGTTCGTACCCGAGAGGGCAAATGTCATGAGCTAGTAAGCTAGCTAGGCGGTTTCTTCCAGGTCCGAAAATTTTAAGGCGCCAAGTGTTGGGTTGGGATTTTGTAGAAGCCCTGGAACAAGATGGTTATCCGGTAATTGCCCTATATAATTTTCTTTTTCTTAAAAAAAAAAAAATTCTCCATAGTTGTAGTGGGTGGATTGGGGAATTCTTTAACAATCCATCATATTTAAAATTGACATTGATATCAAATTATCAATTGACTTTTTGAATCCAGCCTTAGTGAACTCAAACTCACCTCATAAATTATATGAATTTTTGGGTTTTAGACTTTAAATTTATATTAAAAATTTAAAACTCAATTTATGTTATTATATGAGATTTGGATTCAGTAATCTTTTTTTCGGGTCGCACAAACTGAATTTAACTTGATCTACTCCTATTAACAATCCTATTATCAAATAATAATTTGAATAATACGTTTGTCAAAAAAAAAATAATAATTTGAATAATAGAAGAAAATTTCGATATATATAGAATTTGACACTCACCTTCTCTCTCTCTCTCCTATATTTTATACTCTTTTTTTTTATCAAAACCTTTCGTAAGACTTTTATAACTTTACAAATCTAATGTAAATCTCAAAAGCCGCTTACATTTTTTTTTGAAAGACTAGACTCTGCTTGGATTAGCTATTTTTAGGGTTGTTTTTCAAAAACAGCACTGTAGCATTTCGTTTTTCAAATACAAGTCCGTTTGAATTAGTTGTTTTTGGAATTATTTTTCAAAAACTATATTCCAAACTTCTACTATAGATGTTTTACGGATTATTTTTTGATGTATTTTTAAAACATATTTTCGAGTATTTTTATAATTTATAATTTTTATATTTTTATAACAATATATATTTATACATTTATAATATATTTATAAATATTTATAAATAAATATATTTATATAAAAATATATAAATGTATTATATTATATATAATACATAATATAAATATATTTATAAATGTATAAATAGGGGTGCAAACGAATCGAACTGCTCGCGAGCAGTTCGGTCAACGCTCGACTCGAGCTCAGTCAATATCGAGTTCGAGCCAGCTTGTTTATAATACGAGTCGAGTTCGAGCCTCGCGAGCTCGCGAGCCGTGTAAAATTACATAAATACCCCTACTTATTTAACTAATTACTAAACTAGAAACTAGATACAATTTCTCCAAGGACTAAGGACCAAGACAGCGGACACCCCTAACACAAACACGCCTCTTTCTTCTTCCCACTCGGCTGTTCCGCTGTCGGCAACTCGGCATTCCTCTTTCCCCAAATCAAAAGCAAACCCTAGCCGCCGCTACCACTGTTTTCACCACTCACCAGTTGGCCACTTCTGCCACCACCACTGCCGTCCTTCAATTGAAGAGCCCTTTCTCTCCGAGTCCCAGTTTGTTGGCCAACGTTAGACTCAGCTACGGTAGACATTTCATCAGCTCCATTGGTGGAGGGCCTCGCGAACAGGTAATCCATCACTCTTATTCCCTTATTCTCTGTTTTTGTTGCTGTATAATGATGCTTGGTGGTAGAATAAGTGATTGTTTCCTGTCATTAAAGCCAGATCGACTTCTTCACCTCGTTCCTGTTGTATAATGTATAGATGTAAAATTATTACTATTAATTTCCTCTTTCCTGTTAATGGCGACGGAGCTGGAGCTCTCGTTAGACTTAGATCGCCTCTTCCTTCCCATTTCCGTCCCCAATTTCAATCAATTAGCCGAAAAAAAAAATTTGTCTCTTCTCAGGTATTCGGTGAATTAAGATTGTACTGATATTGATTGGAAGTTGGAACAAGCGTTTTTGTCTATGTATTTTTTTCTCCTTATTTTTTTTTTTTTTTTTGAGTTTGGATTTAGGACGGTTTTTGAAGATTGGTAAGAACGTTGGGTTTCTTTTTTTAACTTCTTACATACATTTTCATGGAATATACCTTCTGTTTGATTGAAATAATTTTGGTTTGTAGTTTTTGATTGTTCACTTTTTATTTTCTCATTCTGGGGTAATTTTTAGCTTGTCCTGTTAGAAAATGCAAGCTGGATTGCGTTTAGAAATTATGTGCTTAGTGAACTTAATCAATGTTAAAGTATAAATGACCTTTTCGGCTGCTGGTGATAGGAGAAAGTATAAATGTTAAAGATATGACAGATTTGTGCACTAAGAGTAAATGGAATGACTTTGATGATATTTAGTCAAGGGTCAGAGTAAATATGCAAAACTCAACTAAGAAGGTAATTAAACATAATCTTTGATATGATTTTTTTTATTTTACATAATCTTGGCTTATGCTACGATTGGATTTGCGTTGCACTACATTTAATATTCCAAACCTGGGAAAACAGGAGTTTATAGACATTAGGAAAAGAGTTTACTAGCTGCAATTTGGGTTTTTTTGCTGTTTATGTTTTAGGCTCAGTTTTGTATGCTTCAGGATGTTCCTTTTGCTTAGAAGTTGTTTCATACTTTCTCAACAGAGTTAATCGTGTGGAGCACTTTGTATGCTTCAGGATGTTCCTTTTTCTTTCATTTCTGTTATATTTCTGTTACTAGATGGGCTGTTATTGAAAAAAAAATTGATCTCATTTATTGGACAATGAAAAACTTGTTTGTTGTTACTTTTAATTCATGTTTGGAATTGTTATATTCAAGTTTGCAAGGCATTGAATAGGTTAAAACGTGCTATTGGAGTCAGGTTAAATAAAGCTGGTTATATTTAGTGATAGAAATTTTTGAGCTGAATTCGAGCCATTTCGAGCTCTTGTCGAGTTGAGTAAATCGAGCCTTATCGAGTCGAACTCGAGCCAGTTTCTTACTTAGTCGAGTCGAGCTCGAGCTCAATTTTCTCGAGCTCGAGTTCGAACTCGAATATACAGTAGTCGAGTCTGGCTCAATAAGTTCAATGTTTGACTCGGTTCGGCTCGTTTGCACCCCTATGTATAAATTATAAATGAATATTATATAAATGTATAAATTATAATTTATAGTTTATAATTTTTATATTTTTATACATTTATGCATTTATAATAAATTTATAAATAAATATATTTATATATTTATAAATAAATATATTTATATATTTATAAATAAATATATTTATATATTTATAAATAAATATATAAATGTATTATAAATGTATAAATGTATATTATTATAAATGTGTATAAATTATAAATGAATATTATATAAATGTATAAATGTATAAATTATAAATTATAAATTTTATATTTTTATATTTATATACATTTATGCATTTATAATACATTTATAAATATTTATAAATAAATATATTTATTTATAATACATATAAATATATATATATAATAAATATATTATATATAATACATAATATAAATATATTTATAAATGTATAAATGTGTATAAATTATAAATGAATATTATATAAATGTATAAATTAATATATTATAAATATATGTTAATATTATGTATAAATGTATTAATATATTAAATATAAATGTATAAATGTATTAATATTATATATAAATGTATAATTAATATTATGTATATTAATATAAATGTATAAATATATTATAAATGTATTATATTATATATAATACATAATATAAAAGTATATTATAAATATACATAAATATATATATTATGTATAAATGTACATTTATATAAATGTATAATATATATAATATATATTATGTATATATCAAATATATATAATATATAATATTTTTATAAATGTATAATTACATATTATTATATATCATTTATATAATTTATAATATATAATATTTATATAAATATATTATAAATATATAAAAATATATTTTATCCAATATATATTTATTTATAAAATAAAATATTTATAATATGTATAAATAAATATATTTAAATTAATATTATATATATATATATATCCTATACATAATTGAAATATACAAATTGAAATAAACATATTAAATATTTATTTGGAGTTGTTTTTGATATATTGTTTGGATATGGTGTTTTTGGAGTTGTTTTTGAAATACACATTTATTGTAGCATTTGGAATGTGAAAAACAGTTTTTCAAAAACAGTCCCAAAAACAAGCTATCCAAACAGACCCTATAATTTATACTTAGGATCTGTTTGTTTGGATGAAAAAGATTTTCTAAAAAATATTTTTCATTGTTTAATTATTAATTAATTTAGAAAAATAATTTCGGATATACCCACGGGTTAACTTCCTTATTATCTATCATTGTTGAAGAAGTTATTTTCCTCTTCTTTTCACGGCTCCAGCAAGGGTTTTCGATCTCATCAGCGACATCTCATCAGGAAAATAACTTTCATTCCCGGCATCTCTCTCTTTGGCATCTCATCAGGTGAGCTACTCCGGCATCTCTCTCTCTCTCTCTCTCTCATATATTTTTTTCCTTTGAAAGCGGCCAATATCAACGGCTCAAGTCATGTGTGGATGCGTTTGTGTGAGTGTGAGTTTGTGTGGTCCATTTCTCTAGTCATCGGAACTAGACTTAGCCATTGCGGCCGGTAACCATCTCCCTCTCTGACTCTTCAGTCTGCTTTTTGTTTGTGAGCTGTGCCCGCCATTGTGGATGCGTTTGCTTATGCAGCCTCAGAAGCTTGTTTGACGGCCTAAGCACAATCTCATTCCCGTTCCTACAGTAGCATTTCCAACAAGGGTGAAAACTCCTTAAGTATTTCCAGAGGTATGATGGTCTCTTATTAGCCTTTTTTTCCTCCCTTTTCCTTTGAAAAATTGTCTAGAATACTGGTGTAGATTCTTGAAGTTGGATTTGAATGAATTTTTGTGAGTTGCTTTTGTTTTAGTTTGTTCTTACCTGATTAGGGTTAAATCTGATTTGATTGATGCTAATGAATTAATTTGGCTGCTGAGTTTTGGGGGTTTTATGATTCTTGGAATCAGAATCCGGGTAGGGTAGGGTAGGGTAGTGTTTTTCTTACAGTCTGGCGAGACCATTTGTAAATAGTTGACAAAATCTGATTAGGAAGGAAAACAGTTTGCTTGTGTTCATCCCAGAGAGCAAAGAATCTCCCAGCGTTGCAGTTAACAAGCTATAATGATATTCTTGTTTTTCGTGAATCATAACAGATCCTATAATGTCTGACTATATTCGTCCTACTTAAAATTCTATATTTGAAGAATGAGTTCAGTTCTATTGAAATGTGTCATCACAAGTAGAACCAGCTCAAGCCAATAGGGCTAAGCCTGCGCCCCAAGCTCCAACATCAGCGCATAATTGATTTTTTTTGCTGTCTTTCCTGTAAACTGAAGTGGACCTGTATAGATGTTTAATCAGAAAGAAAAGCCACAGATCACTTCGGGACTTAGTATTTGCATGTTCATGCAGATTTCGTGCAACATTTGTACAGACAGTTGCACTCTCCTATTTTAATATCAGATTTCAGCAGCAAGATTGTTTTACCAATCCTGTCCACTTTTTAACGTGATTCATTGGAAGGGGTTCTCTGGGAAAAAGTAATGAAGTAGCTAACAAAAGTTTTAGGAGACTACACAATCATATTGTTTCTTTTCCTCTGTCTCGGGTGCTGAAACAGCTGAACTATGAACACAAGCTAACTTTCTTTTCCTATGTCCTTTATATACTCTTATTCTTCTTGGGCCCGCCCACATTTAAGGAGAACATTAACTGCTATTGGTATAACCTGCATCACTCTGCATTTGAGACCCCTGCATCACTCTGGCTTTTTCTGGTACACTACTAATAATCTACTGCTACGTGAATTAAATGTTTATTACCCAAACAAGTAATCTTATTGGCATCATGGTTTTGGGCGGCAGTTGGATTTCTGTTGCGAATTTCTGTTCAAGTAATCGTACTCCTTACACATTCGCTAAGGTATTCCATTGGTAAGTACATCTTTAAATCCTAATTAACAATTATATGCATGCAATCAATTAATAATTATATTAAATTTTCATAGATGGATCCCGATAGTGATGATGATGAGGATGCTATTGTAATTGGTGCCGCCACTTCAGTCCTAGCAGCAAGATATGCAGCTCTTGAAGTCTATAAAACTCCAGTTGTTATACCTAAACCACCTCATGTTAATAGGGAGTGAGCTAGAGAGGATTACATGGATAACATATTATATGGAAGTAGTTCCTATTGTATAGACCAAATTAGAATGGACCAAACTACATTTTTTCAATTATTAAATGCTCTCACCATAAAATTCACTATAATTCTATGCTAACATGAAAAGTTTTTCTTGGAGTATAAAAATTTTATCTTGTGTTAGTTAAAGTTTGGGAGCGAGGAGGCTGAAGCCAATATCTTCATTGTTGCACGGTATAATTTCAGGAACCTCCTTGAGTTTTTTAAACAATTGCAGTCACCTCAGGATCGGACGCACGGATAAGTGTAATTTTTCAAACTTTAAAGGTGGTGGTTGTAATTATAAAAAATCTCAGGGGGGTTTATGAAATTATCCCGCACTATTTTGTGTCGAAATCTGTTCACAAAGAAAACAAGTAGTAGACTAGTAGTAGTTATTTGGCCCGAATACCATGACCTGGGCTAAACTGTCTCGAACCCATCTTGTCCCAGCCCAGACTGTAAGTCATAAGACTCATGCGGCCTCTACCTGAGTTTCTCCTTTTATTCCGTCCCTCAATCATTCCTCCCTCTTCTTCCCTGCTGCTGCCACTCTCTGGCACTGCTTTCTATTCTATTTCGTTGGTCCAAACAATCAAAACCCCACCAACTAGCTAAGTTGATTTGGGTAATTATCTGATTCTTTTTCTTTTTTGTTTCAGGTATTATCAGACTATTTACTAGTTTGAATCTTACTGTTACTGTTCTTGATATTGTGGCTGCGATTCCTCATTAAGTGTTTAAAACATATTTTGATACTTTTATTGAGTTTCCAAATTTGAGTAGCGATGGGTAAGAAGAAGAATTCATCCACAGCAGCAGCAGCGGCAATATCTTCACAGCCACACTTGCAGCAGGCTCCTTCAGGAACAATGAGAGAAGAATCTAGCGGAAAGAAACAGAGCAGCGTAAATCCCAAGTCCATGTTGAAATTGGACCACCTTAAAAACCTCGCTATCTGGGCTACTGCCGAAGCTTCCGTATGTTCACTAGGTGCTTTTTTTGGCCACCGCTTGGCTGCCACTGCTGAAGCCTTGGGTGTTCCTCCTGACCCTTCATTGTTCTCCTGCCAGAGGTCCCCTAAATTCTTCCCATTTTTCCTATCGTTTTTGTGCTTTCTACTTGTGGCGTATTCTACATGTTCGATACAAGTCCTATTTGGTTGTATTAGAGTTGTTGTGTTCTATTTCAGTAGTAACGTTTTTTAGTTTGATTTAGTGCTTCCATGATTAGTTCCTAGGAATTTTAGAGGCTTAAAGGCTTTGGTTTGTGATGCGGTACAGTTAAATTACGTGTATGTCTATCAGATTATGACCTCTTCTCTGTAATGGAGTAAACTGTTTTGGACAATCAAGTTTTTACACACAACGTTCTTGTAGAATTTGCTCTAGTAGCTTATAGAAGGCCGTCTTACCGTATTTTGGGAAAATACTTCCGTGAAACCAATCTCCTCAAACATGCTTGATGTTTCGGATAAACATATTTTGTTTGTGCTTCTATCTAGGAGTAGCTAGTGAATTTCATGACTCGAAGATTAACTGGTATTTCTACAACAACGAATTGTTTTGGAAGTAATATCATTCCTAAAACTGACATATAGGTCTGAGTACAACACTCATTGGCCCAAGTTATTATCTCTAGTTGCCCTCAGCTAGAGCAAGAAAGCGAAGGAAGGAAGCATAGATGTAGAATGAAGTCCTAATATAACCCTTTATGCAGATGGCTGATGCAACGATGCTCACCCATATTTCTAGATGTTTTCACTGCCTGGATGGTTCCTTCTGGCTCTTTGCTACTAAAGATCGATTCTTGCAAGACTATTTTTCTTGATTGTATAGAAGCAAAGGAGATACTGCAGTACAATCTTAATGTTGTTACCACCATGGTGGTGGATTATAATACAAACATTCATCTGCGTGTCTAATGTTTTGATTACCATTGTAATTTTTCTACAGGTGTGAATCTATTCTTCAACCTGGCTATAATTGTACGGTTCGGATTGAGAAGATAAAACCAAATCCAAAGCGAAGGCGCAAGAAACGTAGTCTTTCGATTGAAAACAGTGTGGTTTACAGCTGCCACTTTTGTTCGCATAGAAACTTGAAGAGAGGAACCCCGAAAGGCTACATGAAAGAGTTGTGTCCATCGAAGCCCAAAGTCTCTTCAAAATCAGATCCTACCAAATCAAGTCATCCAAAGTTTGCCAAAGCAAAGGTCATTACAGCAAGCAAAAATGATCCCATGTCCAAGGTGGATGGAATTGCTTCACAAAAAATAATTAACAAGGATCCTGCGAATGACAGTTCTACAACTCCCTCGGCTAAAGTTGAGACTTTGTTGGATACAAGAAAGAGGAAAAGGACTAGATCAGGATCCAAGAAAATTGTTGAATCAGAAAGCAGTTCTGTTCCTGTTGATGCAAAGAAAGCTTCCATACCATCAAGCAAGCGGAAGAGAAAATCTTGGACTAGTTTAAAGGACATTGCTGAGTGTAGTGACCAGGATAGTAGCCGTAACTTCACTAACTTAGCAATCCCATTTCGTATATAAAAATGTAAATTGGTATGGAGATGAGAGTAGTAAAAGACATCCAATGTGTGGACCCGTATGGCTGTATGCATAGCTTAAGTATTCAATGTGACCGATAGAAAGCATCTGAATTAAAAATTCATGGTTGGAAACATGCACTATTGTCCTTTTTGTCATTTCATTATAAATTCTCTTTATCTTCTTCTCATATTAAGATACATGCCATGAGCACAAAGCATGACAAAAATGGATTTAGTTACTTCATCCTACTTGCAAAGGACCTAAGTGATATACTCTAATGATCTCTCCAATAACTAAGAAGATGTACCAGGCAAGTAAAAGAACCTCGCCTTTGAAAATTTGGAGAAATTAAGACTTTTTTTGCGATTTTTCATATGGAACAATCTTTTCTTGGCTTAGATCTCTGAGGTGATATATGGTTGCAACTCACAAATCTTGAGTAGAATATTTAATATCTGCAATATCCTTCCCATCCAAAATTATGTTGTGCATAATCAATCCTGTCATGCTTTTGCTACTCTCCTTTCCGTAAAGAATTAAGAATCAAGAATGAGTAAGAACAATTTAAACTTGTGATTTCCAACTCTCATATTGAAACAAACTGAAAATTGTACAGTAACTTAGACTGGCCAGTCACCTCTAAAACCCTCTTCGTCTCATTTACACTTCATAGATACTTCTCGTCATGTAGCTATATATCAATCAAGCGAGGAATCAGTGTGGTGAACAGCTCTAGCAAAAACCAAAATGTCATCAGGGTCTTTTGCTCCTTCCTTCTCGTCATTATTATCGCCCTGAGCCTTTCCATCATCTTTGCTAATGACAGCTTCTTGAAGTACCTCCCTAGCCTTGGCTATTGGATCAACACTTCCCTTCTGTTCCGTTTGCCCCTTCTCCACTTTCTCTTTTCTCTCCTTCGTTGACTCCATTTTTGCCACTCTCTCAATTTGCCTCTACCTGTAAAGCGTTAATTTGTCTAAAATCTTGTCATATATATGTGATTAGAGATGTACACGTGTTAGGATACTCAGATTTGCGACAGAGACTCATCCACATGCACAGCAAATTCGTGTTACACGTAGCTCTTTACCGTGTTATCTTACTGGTTTTTATTTCTGATCATGTTTCCAACTTTGCCATGGCTCGATGGCAAGCCCCCCCCCCCCCCCCCCCAAGAGCTTGAAAATCAGAGTTGAATGCCTTAAAATCTGTTTAATTTTTAGTTCTACCCCGTAATAAATTCAAACTTGGTCTTTCCTCCACCAAAATTTTAGATGATATGATCTCTCACGGTGCAAGTCTTGACCACCCAAATCTCAGGCCTTATGTACAATTTGGGAGTCAAATTTTGATTCTTTGATAAATCTTCTTAGCAGTCGAGATAGGATAATTAGTATCACTGGAGCTGGTTCAGTGATTCAGTGGCCAGAAGAGAATTTTTAAAGTTTCCTTCGCTACTAAGTTTAGGGTTCAAATATTGATTCTAGTAGTTGTTGAGAGATAAAAAAGAGCGTGAAAAGAGAAAAAAATGGAGAAATGAAGTAGTTAACACTCATCTTGATTCACATGGCGCGCTTTCATTGGACTTAATTGTAAGATTAGGATTAATACCTAAAATTTAATTTAAATGGTGGGTACGCTAATCAAATGACCATCAGATTTCAAATTCGACTAGTATTAAGTTCTCTTTTTTTTTTTTTTGAAATTTATCTACCTCATTATAAAGCTTGGAATCTCAAGTCCAATAAAAAGATAAGATCAGGACAAGCTACGCTGGAACGAGTTGTTTCTTTTCTGCCTTCTTTTTTTTTCTTGAAGGAATCTTTTCTGCTATTTTCACTAAGAAAAGGTATCTGTTACAGCATTTGGATTGTGCGTTTAAGAAAAAATGGCAATATGGCAGATAGCGCTTACGCAGCCTTTTCATAAAAGGATCAAATAGGTGAGAAAATTAGTGCCTTACGGCTTTCTCGAGTTCGCCTTTCCTGCCTCAGGGACCAAAAATAGCATCTTGCATCGGCGAAGCTGAAATTCTACATTCTTCCTTACCTGGCCGCAATATGAGGAAAATTCATCCAAGGGATGATTGATGGCTGAAAAAGATGGCAAGTCATTGAAGAATGAGGAATGAGATCAGCAAATGTAAACCCTGATACCTTTCATTATTTTTTCTCTCGTGTTAAATCATTCATGGATATGGTCTATGGGCATAGTTGGTCGAGAAGAGCACCCAAGATTTCCACGCTCTTGGTGGTAACGTCCGAGTGCATGAATCAGAATCAGGCGGCTCTGAACACAAGTAGTTATAGCAGACTCCAGCTGCACAGAATAATCATCAGTGCTGCGTAAAATTCTTCATACAAAAAATGTGCAGTAAAGGTTTGTATCAGCCGTAATAGCGGACTCCAACATCAACTACGGACGCCTCAGTCAAAGTTATCAATTCTGATGGGAGTGATTTCATCTGCTACGTCGAAATGTCCCACCATCCTGGCAAGAAACACCATTTGTTGTTCGAGGGTAAACTTGATGGTTTCAGCCTGCATAACATGAGAAGTACTGTATATCAATCAGTAGTTATTAGTCTGCAGAGTGGTTGCTGCAGTAAAGTAATACCCTTTCTCGGATGCATACCTTCCGAAAACCATGCCCTTCTCCCTGGTACTCCACAAGAGCAACAGGCAACCCTTTCTCCGTCAATGCAGTATAGATTCTTCGTGCTTGATCAGGAGGGACAACCTGCAATATGATGAATTCACTGAAGTCGTTTGGGCTGATTTAAAGACCATATACTTGTTAATGTGAATAGAGAGGTCCAATTTACCATAAATTAATTATTTTTTCTGCTTTGAAACTAACTGTTATCAGCCACAAAGACCAAAAAGATAAAATATTACAACTACAAAAGGGGAAGGCTGAAGGCATGTCAACATTTGACTCCAGCCCATGCAAACAACTTTCCAGGGTGATGGAGATGTGATCAAATGCTTCATTGTTTCCATTTTTCTCTCTACTCTTCCTCAGGAATACAGCTTTAAGGTAAATTGTCCAGGAACCAAATCAAATAGCAAAAGGAAAACAGTGATCGGCATACCTCGTCTTCTAATCCTTGAAATAGAATCACAGGGCAAGAAAATTGATCTACAAAATTTATAGGTGATCTCTCAAAGTACGCAGATCCGCTTCCTGCAAGTACACAAAAGGTTGCCTTGACTTGCGATTAAGCAAAATTGTACAATATCCACTCTAAAGAAATGGAAACAGATCTAGGAAAAATTTGCATGGTCGTATCTTCTTTCACCAAAATAACGTTACTCAGTTATTACCAAACAAATGTAACATAAAAAGATAAGCGTCAAAGAACAGTTGTTACCAACAAGATTGTCGGTATAGTGCGATTCGAACTTGTGCATTTCTTCTTTCAGCAAATTCAGATCAGCAATCTGTACGTTGAACAATGTGAATAAACAAGTTATCGTTTCTAAGAATATGAATCCCTGAGTCCGTGAAACCTTTTTTTTTTCGATTATTGAAACTACGTAGAAAAGCAGCAGACTCAAGCTTGGTGGTAAGGCAAGAATGAAGAGAATGTTAAAAAGCACCAAATTGTACCAAATCTAAATACAAGACCGTTACTGAGAAAAAATCAGCAGAAAGCTTTGAAAGCACTATGACCCAAAAAAGCACAATGATAATCTATTTGCGTGATGTTTGAACATATGATGCAGTTTGTTCGGCCCTAGAGATTATTTTGGTAGCACACTTTGGTAGTATAGTCAGATAATGCAAGTTATACAAGGTGGCCCGAAAAAAGCTCCATCCTGAACGTTCAGGAATCAGGAGACCGCATGCAACTTGCAGCCAGCATATAAGCACATGAAGAGGATATACAAGTACAGAAGTTAACCGGAAAAAAAAAAAGCAAAAACATCAACAGCCATGACAAGGAAAAAGTTCAGCTTTTAACCACCGTAACACCGAAGTAGATCAAGCACTCACACCAAACAAGGAAGCTCCAGCTTTAAATGTTTCTGTGAATGCAAGAGCTGCTAGAGTGGTGTACCCACCAGCTGATTCCCCAGTAATACAAAGCCGTTCACCATCTACTTTTCCGCTATCCACCTAGAAAGTTAAACAAAAATTATCCAACTCAAACAGAAAGTGATTACGATCTATTACTAAGGGAAAAAAGGAAAACTATTTACCAAAAATTTTGCACAACTGCAACAATCATTGACATCAACTATTCCCCACTGTCCTAATATCCTTTCTCGATATCTTCGGCCATAGCCTTCAAATGTTAAATGTAAAAATTTTTTAGCAGAAGAAATAACTGTGCTTTTAATCTATGCAGTTACTGAAAACTGAACATACTGAAAATTTTGATACATAAAATTACAAACATACCAGAACTTCCACCATAGTTAACATCCACAATTGCCCAACCACGACTTGTCCAGTATTGAACACCAAGGTTTAAGATTGCACGTGTCTCCAGAGTAGGCCCTCCTACAACATTGGGAAACAATGTTTAGACCAAATGTAAAATATATTACAATTACACTTAAGAGATTCCTGAAGCTGATGAATGTTCTGAATTCAGAAACAATATGTTTGAACCGCTTCATTAGACTTCACAAAATGTTAAAATCTAACCAGCTGCTAGCATTAATCCTCCCTCAGAGTTGTTTGCGCTAGCATCATAATTAGGAGAGGATCATTTAACCATTCACGTTCAGCAAACTAGTGCATGCACAGCTATACAAAACATATGCACCCCAGTTTGCATCACTCAAGCACACATGAGACAGGACAGATTTGTGATAAGTGTAATAGGCTCTCGAAAAAACCCCTAGGACAAATTCCATCTTGCCTTCCAGGTCATTTTCTGTCCTAACCAACTGCAAAGTTCCCCTTGATCCGCAGCAAATAGTACCAGTACACAGACTTATGTAATACTCATCGAACCTCAAAGAATTAATCTTTTATTGGAACATTCTTTTTAATTTTCAGCCTCAGGAATGTTGTGTTTGCAATATCACATGCAAAGCTTGACACTTTGCAACGTGTATAAATTAAACACTTCAAAAGAATGAAAAAAGAAAGGAAAATGAGGCAGCAAATTCCTTGTTAAGCGACATCTGTCATCCAAACAATTCTAATAATTTGGCTATGAGAATCCCTTTTACAAAGTAAAAGGAATCAAAACTTACCATGGCTTTTCAAAAGTAATGGAGGCTTCTCTTCTGGATTAGCTTGATATATTGGATTGCTCGGTGGGTAGAAGTATGCATATGCACTCAGACCAGGGACACTGGTTGGAAACTCTATCAGTTCTGGCATACTAAAATATGATTTATATGCTGAGCAAATACGAGAAGAGGACCATGTAATCCTGAAATCAACTGCTTTTGATTTCTGATAATCTAAAGTCACCTGTCAACCAGTAAAGAATCTAAGAAAATGACACAGACCCAAATGAAAACCCTAGAAGTATCTCTACTAAAAATTATTCTCCTTTACCAAAGAAGGCAATTGGTAAAGTAAGTTACTCAAGAAGAAGAAAAAACAGAAATAACGGCTTTAGTAGGAGGAAGATGAGAAGATATCACCTTAGATATTGACAATGGATCAACTGCAGAAGCTCCCTCAATATATAGGCAGTGAATCCCAGAAGTCTGTATAAGTATCATAGCTTTTTCAAGCACTATCAATATTGGCTAATAAGAACTTTAAAATAACAAAGAGGGTATTTGGTTTTACAATAGTACTTATTTCTGTGAACGGAAGATCAATCGGTGACAATGTGCATTGAACAGGATCCAGAATACCAAGATATGACTTCCCATTTTGGCTGCACATCATTCTGACATCAATTATTTATGGCAACACATTTTTGGAAAAACAGCATAACGCGTTGAATGAATTGATTATAAAGACCATATTTCAGGAAGAACCTGTAACTGCAGGCAATTAAGCTTTTCTGATCTTTGTCCTCAATAAAGTCGTATGAGTTCATACCGAAATTCCACATAGGTCTTGCAAACTCAGCGTCCAATTGGAAAACTGGAACCACCAGATTGGTAGATTCCGCCTATCATCAAGAATTAAACATAATTGTAGTCAGAGTCCGTTAACTAAAGCCAACCACACACACCATCCGGGGTGTATTTCTTTGATAAAAATGAAAACGAAAAAATTCAAGGTCCCTAATTCTCACACTCCATTGACACCTGACAGCCACCCACCCCCTCCCTCCCAAAAAATAAAAGGTGAAGAGTTGCCACAAACTGTTATGTCTGATAGCTTTTAACAAGATGCCAGTGCTAGAGCTAGGGTTCGTCAAATTTACTGTGTAACTTGAGTACGGATAGGTTTCATATGCCAGTTCATCATCCTTTTTTGAAAAAGCTAATAATGCATTCCTTGGTGCATTTAGGAAGCAAATGCAACATAATTATGAACTAACAAGTAGCAAGAAGACATGGTATAAGTGCCAACATATACTACGCATGAGACCAGAAAACAAGAGATGACCAGGATATCCCAACAATGATCCTTTCTTAGACAAGCTCACCCATTTGTAAAGATTCCAAAACCCAGTTTCTCTATCAGAGATGAAGAATAGCTCCCCTGTAACAGCAAACACAGCAATCAACACCACAATTTTGAAGCATAGCAATACAACACCAGCTTAAAAAATGTACGTCATTTCAGGTGAACCAAGGATTTTAGATTCAGTTAAGAGGATAAAGCATAAGTATATATATTCTCAACGAGATAATATAATTACAGCATAAACATCATCATGCATACAGGGAAATATCAACAGGTGCCGCAAACTCACTGTAGGTGTCGCACGATCATTCTTGTAAGCTAAACAGCAAATACAGCTTCTATCCAAAGTTTTATGATTAATGTCAAAATAAGCAAGCATTCTCTGGGTCACCCAATTTCTTGAGCACTTGGTCGGTAATTAGTTTATGTGATGTTTTAGGGAAAATACAGCAAATGTAAGCCACAGAAATCCTTTTTGGATTCACTTGATAAAAGAAAGAAAATGACACCTCCACCTCAGAAAAAGGCAAAACTCGGTAAGGTTTCCAAAGCTCCAATTTTGTTTTATATATGACCAATAAAATGATCAGGACACTTATTGCCTTAAATTCAACCAAGCTACAACTAGAGGATGGGAAGCTAGCTGTTTTTTGTTTGATGATTGTAAAGTGATCACATAAACATGATCTTGCATTCTATAATCAATTAAGTCAATTCACATTTCACCATATACCTTGAGGAGACCACTTAGGTTGAGTTGGAGATTCCACAACCATTTGATCACCACCCACAACACAGATTCTTTTCTGCATTTCCCTAGGCAAAGAAAATAACATTTAAATCACGAGCCAAGAAAACAAGAGTAGAAATTGATCAGAAAAAAATGCAATTATAAGTAGACAAAGAGGATTAGCATGTGCAAACAAGAACAGAAAGAACATAGTGTAATAAGAATTGCTGCAATGGAAATTGAAACTTCAATGGAAAGGAAAGTTTATGGTAACCAATTGAACATTTTACAAATAACCTGCTCCAGAAAAGAATTGTCAACTTGTTATAGGCAGATAACCTATCTAAAAGTTCCAACCTGACACAATACCCCTAACAGATAGCAATTATGATGCGTACCCTTCATCACCTATATAGCCAACCCAAAGTTCTGATCTGTCCCATGGCATATCAGGATGGTTCCACTGAATCCAGGCCATCCGCTCTCCTTTTGGATCCATGCGCGGGAAAGCGTAAAAATCACTGCCAGCAACCAACGCTTCTGGTTCTGCAATGTCAGTGAAGCATGTAATACAAGCAGACAGAAATATCTTTCATAAATAATTAAAAAAAACAAGAGTAAAAGCGTGCAACCAAATAAAATGCACTGTTTCCACAATTATACTTGCCAACACATGCAAAAATAAATAAATAAATAAAACACAAGAAAAAACCTATGAGGAACAAGGGATTAAAAGCCTACCTTGGATACTTTCATTGTCAACATTGATGGATACTATAGTTGTGATAGAATTCATGCTACTTTCACGGCAGTCTGTCAAGCATACAAAATTGAAATAGCTAAATTGGTATTGGGAAAACAAAGTTACATAACGTAATAGTGCAAACTTAAACCAAGAATGTGATCAGATCCACCTTCTTGTACTGCTATGTAACGATTAAACCGCGAGTCAAAAACTCCATCCGCATAAGACACAAGCGGAGTGCCATGATCTGGAGTAATTGGCACAGGAGTAGAATCTGCCAGCAAAGAAGTGCTTGAGACTAAGAAGAAAAGGTCAACAGAAAGGTGGATACAATAAATCGTCCTACACCTAAATGCATTTAGCATGAGAATACTGCACTATAAATCTTAGTTAATATTCCTTAATTTACTAAATTTACTGCACTAAGATACCTAAAATTGTTTTAAATTGATGAGCTGCAAATTTCCTTACGGCTAAAAAGAAATCAAAGCAGGCTACACTTTAAAAGCTTTTTAAATTTCTTTTTTTTTTTTTAAACTCTACCAGCAGCTGTAAGATACACGTATTAGCCAAAGAACCTAAGTCGAGTAACCTAGTACCTAGCAAAAATTAAAAGGTTAATGAAATTACCTTTTGACGAGATTGACTGCCTGTAGAGTCTTTGATCCTTGTAATTGGAGAAGAATAATGTGTCGCCTGAAATACAAAAGGCTCCTCCTTGCAACTGATGAGTGACCGACCTAACACAGAACTCCTTTGGGGTAATATCTATTGGCTTGTCCCCTTCTTTTTCTCCTTGCTTAACCAGCACCAATCGCCTGAAACAAACCACCAAGAGGAAATCAGGATTCAAACTTTGTGATTTATAAGCAAGCAGAGAATGCTTCACTGGAAAACTAAACCATAATCATAAACCTCAAGATAAGATTGAAGAATGATGTATACCCTGATTCGTTGGGTCGGGACTCTACCCAAAAGAGGTGGCCGAAGCAGTCAACAGAGATGCCAAAGAGGAACTTATCAGAGCCGGAGACCAGGTCAGACGTGATAGGGGACTTCCAGGAACCGTAGGGTGCAATGATTTTTGCATCATTGCTGTTTTCTGGGGTTGTCGAAGACATTTGCCTGTAAGACTGATGGTAGTACTTGGTAGTCGAGACTACAAAGAAGTATGTCCGATTTTCTAGTAATTGGGTTGATCATGGAAGTGAGAGATGTTATATATATATTTTTTAAAAAAATTATCATTTTTGTTTAGGGAACTGAAGTGAGGTGTTATAATAGTCCAAAGAATGCCGGAAACGGAGTTTAATATAGCAATGAATTGATACAAGTGTTAGTGCCATGCTGCCAGTGGCTTCCAAAACTTCCTTGAAACCTTTTTGGACTGCAATGCTGGTACTGATTGATTCTGAAGAATTTGACTTCGATTCTGGAAAATCTTGCATTGCTTAAAAGGCAATTCTCTCTGAATGTAAGGAATAAACCAAGCAGCCATCATGTACGGGAAACAGATTGCACCAAGAAAAAACAAAGTATCGATATGAGAAACACAAATGTTAAAACGAAGATAAACTCACGTCTCCTCTCCTCCGCGTGCAGCAAAGCCTTCAGCAGCGAAAACGGTAGAGCAAGCAAACGTAATGTATTTGGGTCCGGTAGAAAATCACACTGTTTAGCATCCTCTGAATATCCATCTTTCTTCTCCAACTTCACCTTGACTATTGCCCCCCCCCCCCTGTTAGAAGTCAATCGAGGAGCCCATGAATGTGGAGAAGTCCTCAGAAACATCCGCAAAGTCTTTAGGATGAGAAGATATTTCTGTGAAACAGAGTCAACAAAAATTCTGCTATAATAGGTCACAGGTTACTCCGGAAGAAGTCCACATTTACATTTTACCGACGAACAGCTCTGTTACAACGGAAAGTGGTTGTCCATTTGTAGCCAATCACGCCCACCCCCAAGTTTATTCGACATGCAGATGTTTATTAAGCCCAGTTTATCCGACAAAGCAAGGACCTTTGTCCGTGAATGTTTAATCTTTTTGTCAGGGTGTGAAATTTGGCCAGCCAAGTTTAACATCATGGAGAATTAAGCCAGGTTTATTCGACAAAGTTGACTGCAAGTTGCCACATATGTTTGTAAACTGAGTTTTTTGGGAGTTTGTCTAAAACTTTACTATAGTGTACTGTAGAAGTTTGGTGAAAAAATTTTTTGTAGAAGTTTTTGTAAGATAAAAAATTTTGTAAGGTGCATTTTTTTTTCCTTTTCTTTTTTTTCTTTCTTTCTTTTTTTCTTTCTCTTTCTTTTTTTCCTTTTTCTTTTCTTTCCTCTCTTTCTTCTTTTTCTTTTTCTTCTTCCTTTCCTCTCTCGCCACCCTCTCTCCTCCGCCAGCCCCCTCTCCCCTTCTCCTCTTCTCTGCATTTTCCCCGCCACTTTCTTCCCTCGCCAGCCCCCTCTCCCTGTTGCCACGCCACTTCCTCCCCCCGCCACCTTCTCTGCCCCTTCCCTCTCCCCTCTGCACGCCGCCCCCTTCTCCCCGTCAGCCCTTCTCTCGCTGTCCCGCCACCCTTCTGCCCTGCCCCTTCCCCTTCCCCTGTGCCCCTTCCCCCGCTGCCCGCCACCCTCCTCCCTTCCCTGCTGCCGTCGCCATTCCCTGCCTCTCCCCCCTTCTCTCCCCCCCCCGCCACCTTCTCCCACTGCCCTCTCCCCCTCTAGCCCACCACCCCTTCCCCCGCCACCCCCACTGCCCCTTCCTCCTTCTCTCACCAGCTCAGGGGAAGATGTCCCATACGGATTGCGGGCGGATAGGCTCAGTGAATCAGCCTTGCCCGCCACCAGTGGAAGCAAGCTGCCCCTTCCCCCTCTGCCCCGCCACCCCTTCCCCTCTGCCTAATTTCTTGGGAGAGAACCAGTTTGCTGAACTTCATGACTTATCCCCACCAACATCTGGCTATGTGAAGATATGGCATGCGCCAATTTTGCATTTGTTAACTTCTGGTCATGTGATGGAAGGGGCAACAGTGGTTATGGTAAGGCTTCTTGATCAACAATGGTTATTGAACAGGGTTTTTAAAAGAAGAGGAGGTTTTCAAGGAAGGAGAGAGGGAGGGAGAAATGAAGGAAAAAAAAAAAGGAACACCGGCAGCGGAATAGGTGGCCGGCGCCGAAAACGGCGGCGGAGGTGGTGGCCGGCGATGAAGGTATGGTGGATGGGGTGGGAGAGAAAGAAGAAGAAAAGATAGTAATTTAAATATTTTGAGATGTGTAGGTTAAAAAATTTGATAAGTTTTTTTGGATTCCTGTAATTAAAGTTGTTAAAAAACTAGTAGCTAAAAAACTTGGCCAAAAAACTCACTTCCAAACAGGCCTTCCTGAGATTGCATCAAGAACAAGAGCCAATCCGAATTCAACTCAGCTGCTCAAATTTTTGTCGTTTGTAACGATCAAACCAGTAATAAGGGAACCACGCAGAGAAATTCTTTTTTTTTTTTTTTTTTTTGAGCCAGGGAGTGAAGGTTAAAATCAAGAAACCTCCGAAACATTTACAGAAGTCATACAAGTGGATCCAAAAAAGTTAAATGGTACATTCGGGTAATTGGAGAATATTTTGCACTCAAAATCCATCTACCGTCAGCAAGAAGGCAAACTTAGGAAATTCTGCATCGCCAAAAAATATTATTTAGAAGAAAAAAATTTATTATTCACAAAACACATTATTAGACCATCTTTTTATCCGACATACATCACATTAAAAAGAGTACTATAGTAAATAGTACCGAAACATTTTTTCCAAATAGCTTTCAACCCAAAAAAGTACCAACTGATGTAATATATCTTTTTGCTGCTGAGCAAATTTCCGGACTCCACATCCTTAGCTTGGCACTGTCCGTCAACTGTATTGAACCTCACCGTGTGGTTTAACATTTTTGGAATCCAAAACATAACTACAAGTAGACATGCCAAACATGGTCCCTCAAGAAAACAAGAACGAGTACCATACTCCAGTATGATCATCGGATCATATGCATAATCGCATCGTCTCAGAATCGAAGATACCAATAATCCATCTTGCTGTTGTACCTGAAATCTCTTAAAGCTACCACCAATGGACCCACTACCAGTTCCTCAGTCAAAGTTATCAATTTTGATGGGGGTGATCTCATCTGCTACATTGAAATTTCCCACCAAACGTGCAAAGAACACCATTTGTTGTTCAAGCGTGAACTTGATGTTTTCAGCCTATGGAAGACGAGTTAATCAGCTATGATTTGTATGTTAAACAGTTGCTGTACCAGAACTTATCTTATGGTGCATACCTTTCGGAAACCATGTTGTTCTCCTTCATACTCTACAAGAGCAACAGGCAACCCTTTTTCCTTCAGTGCATGATAAATTTTGCGTGCTTGTTCAGGGGGGACAACCTGCAAAATGAAGGCCAATAATGATTGAATGCATTTACATGATTATGTCAATGACCGGTTTAAACAAGCTACTCCAAGAAAAAGGAACCTCATTTTGATTGTCATAGAAGAGTCACATTCAAGATGGATGACAACATCTTAATTGTTCCTCACACAAGCAATAGCGTCATGTTCTCTTTCTGTCGGTTATGAGCCGCAAACACCAAAAGCATTGAAAAGAAGAATAATCATAATAGTATTGTAAGAAAGGCAGGTATAATCACTATTGTTCACACCTTGTCTTCTAATCCTTGGAATAGAATTATTGGGCATGAAAATTTCTCAACAAAATTTATAGGTGACCTCTCAAAATATGCTCTTTCACTTCCTGCAACAATTTCAAAAGGTGTACTCAGTTTGTTGACAAGTAATATGCAATTGGAAGCTCTCCAAAGAACAGAATATTTTGAAGAAACGAGCAAGAAATGCATGAATTGTGATTCGCTTACAGTAAAAGAATGCAACTGAGTTATTACCAACAAGATTGTCGATGTAGTGAGATTCAAATTTGTGAGTCTCTAATCTCAACAACTTCAGGTCAGCCACCTGTTTTTTAAAGAAGAATGTAAAGAAAAAACATTACTTCAGAAGCAGAACCAATATGCATACCTCAAAAAAAAAAAAACAAAAAGAAACTAGAGCAGAAAACCAACAATAGCAAGATAATTACAAAAATAAACGTGAACAGAATCCAAAAGTTAGACAGGATTCCTTCAAAATTAATGAAACCATTATGTTTACATAAATGAAAAAGAAAGATTTTGTGAATTGCCAGCCAAATAGGGTCACATGGTACTCACCAATCAGAAAGAAGCTTTACTCAGTTGTTTACGTGGGAAGAAACTAATCAGAATTGATAGATCTGAGGGAAAAGATTATGTACACTACTGCAAGTAGAAATTGAAGCTACAAACGCCATATACTACCTAAGGCAAAGCCATACGCCAATAACACTCGTAAAGAGAGAGAAATTGACTGGAAAATTTTACAAACCTAACCAAGAGAAGAAGTGAAGTATGTAACTAGCAAAATTTGACAAAAGCTGATTAAGCACTCACACCATACAAGGAAGCTCCGGCTTTGAATGTATCTTTAAATGCAAGCGCTGCCAATGTTGTGTATCCACCAGCAGAGCCCCCAGTAATACAAAGCCGTTCACCATCAACTTTTCCACTGTCAACCTTGAACATCAAACAAAATTCAGGACAAACTAACCAGATATTCAGGGGCATTTTCCATCATTCAGTGGAATTAAAGAAACTATCGTTTACCAAAAACTTTGCACAACTGCAACAGTCATTAACATCGACAATTCCCCACTGTCCTAACAGCCTATCTCGATATCCTCTGCCGTAACCTTTAAATTTTGAAATGCAATTAGTTGGATTGGACATCAGTAAAGAGTATAAGTTGAAAAGATGGCTAAAAGACATACTCTAAAAATGGATAATTTCATGCCATTAAACTAAAATGATAAACTAGCAAGTTTAAGTAGTAAGTGGAGATAAAATACTTGGAACGCCAAAAACCAACAATAAGCAGTTGAAACAAAACAGCAAATCAAGTGCTTCAAGTTCTCCAGCTATAAGCTCAGTAAAGTACTACCTGCTTGCCAACTAGTGCCAACACGATAAAAGAATGTTTCCTTGCACAGAACCTCTTTCTTTCCAATGTATGTCATAGTAATCTTGCTGAAACTTTAGAAGATACTGAAGAATGAATAAATAGAATGAAAACCCACCAGCACTTCCACCATAATTAACATCGACAAATGCCCAACCCCGACTGGTCCAATATTGCACGCTAAGATTTAAGACAGCACGTGTCTCTGCAGTAGGGCCTCCTATAGCAGTTGAAAAACATATTTCATTGAAGTCAACGAATAACACGAATACTAATTTAAGACTAGCCTAAAACTAATAAAGGTTCCTATCTATGAAACGTAGTTCTTGAACAAAAATTAAGCATTAAGCTTTGGTTTACTACCATCATTTCATCAAAAGGACTAAGAATCAGTTACCAACCCAAAGTCATCAACTAGCCAGTTCTAAACTTAGAAATAAGCTGATATTTGCGTCATTAAAATCAGAATCTTCATCCTTAACATAATTAACCAATCAACTATTCAACCAGAAGAATCTCATCTAGAGTATTTGGCATGGAAAATGCATACAATGATTATGGGCAAAACATTTTTAAGTCGCAGTCTGATGACAAAAAAAGACATAATTTTTTTACCAATGTCTAGAGAATTGTGGAACACACAATTTTTTTACCAATGTCTAAAGAATTGTGGAACACACCAGGGCCAAACCCAGGTCGTGCATCATTCCTTACAGTTTATCTTTTCTGTAAACACAGTGGGAACTTCCCCCCACAAATAAGCCAAACAAAAAACCATATCCATGTAGTGTTAGCAACTCATCTACCCTCA